AAAAATTTATACCGCCTTCATCACAGGAAATTAAGGCACATTTTTTTCTTTATATTATTATTATATTATATTCCATTATTATATTATATTCCAACTCTGGAAATTTATGACTTTAATTTTTGATGATAAGTCGTTATATTATTTTTTATATTGGTTTTTGTTATTTGTGGTTCTGCATTGTTGCCATTTATGCTGCCGAAAAAGAAGCAAAATAGAAGAAAGTGTCAGTTTAGTATGCAAAAAATACAAATACAAACAACTATAGTGAAATGCAACAACAAAGTAACTATTTAAGAGACCAAAACGTTATTTTAGTTGCTTCTAAATCTTTCAAAAATTTCGTCCTAAAAATAGGTTACAATTTGGTCATTTTACCTTGTGTAAAATTATTTATTTTGAAGATTTTACAGTAACTTCTAAAAATGGAGTGGTCTATAGAGTACAGGCAAAAAACACTGATCCTTAATGATTGCTAAGGTTTTTGTGGTTAATAAGTTAGTACTTTGTTAATCAAGCACTACATTATACTAAAACAAAAAAGTTAACAACAAATCGTTGTTTAATATTTTTTAAATTAAATCTGCTGGTCCGTTGTATTTATTAATAGATCGTACTGCGAAGCCATCAAATTTATTTGCGAAGTAATTACTTTTATGGGCAATTATTCAAATAATCCTAGAAATTGGATTTTTTGAAGAACTGTTGAAAACAACGAAATTGATTTATTTTTTAAGCATAGTAAATCCACTTCAGGAGTGACAAAAATCATTTGAGCTGCGCTTTGAACCAAAAAAAGAATAATAGGATTATGTAGATTTTGCAAAAAAATAAAATAGACGCCCTGTATATTTCGGATTGCAATTTCCAAAATACCTACAATTTATTTACGGGATAGAGAAATATTTCAAGAACAATAACATTTATTTTAAAAACCGCAATACAAAATCAATCACAATAACCATTTAGGAAAATAATTTCACCTATTATCTCCTGAGGGCTTGCATTTTTGGGGCGGATAGTTTAACTTTACCGGGAAGATTCCGAGCCAACTGCTCGTCCTTGACCGCTTTTAAGAGATCCTTTTCCCTTTGTGTAATACCGCGATCTTTCAAAAACATCGTCAACGCTGTACGAGCGGCCTTGCCTCTTCTGGCAGTCCCTGGTGTTAACTTCACTTTGAATCTTAAATGTATGTTTCTTTTTAACCTAAAAAAACGTAACTATGTCTATTCACATACTTATAATTAGAAAGCGTATTATATGGCGCGACCACAGGCACAGCAAATAACAGTTCGTCATCCGCGAATGGAATTCCTGTCAATGAATCTATCATATCCACCTCAGCTTGGACCGTGGGTTCATCATCGTCATTTACATCATTAGATTCTTTTGGTTCTGCCAAACGAGGAGCTGGTTGCGGTTTCTTCGCCGGTTTTGTATGTGTTTCTTTGCCTTTTTTCGATTTCTTGGTCTCTTTTCCTGTACCAGAGGACTGAAATAGAGTCACATTATGATACTTTATCTCAGAACCATATAGCAGATACCTGCAAAATATTCATCCTTAACTCTCTCTCTTCCTCATCTTGATCTTTGTATTTTTCTTTGATCTTTTTGAGTTTGCTTCTTTGACCGCGTTTAGACTGTTGTTGTCTGTTTGACTGTTCCGCCTCTCCTTAAAAAAAAAAACTAAAAATGTAAAAAGCAGGGAAAACAATCACTAAGGTGGACAGACTGAAAATCTCCGAGTACAACATGTAAAAGTGCAATATAGCAACAATATATTAAATAAAATACATTGTGAACTACTGAAATAATATATTGTATAAAGATATTTACTTTTTGGTTGGTCCTTTTCTGTCTTACTACTTGAATGACTGCTGGTTCTGCTCCGAGAATTATTTTGTTTCAAAATAACTGGTTTATTATCACCAAGATAAAAAATGCCCGGTTCATTTTTAGGCTCCTCTCTTATTGTTGGTTCTATTAAAATATTTCGTCTAAAAATAAGATATATGTAATTTTGATCCTCTGAAGGTCCTAAATAGGAACAGCATCATCGGAAGATCCAATAAACAAAAATTTCAAAAATGGTTTTATTTTTCTTTTGTATTTATACTGATGGATTTCAAAAGAAATTGTATGGTCACTTGTTCTGATCTAACCACTCCTGTTTAATTCATTTTCACATAAATACAAATTACAACTTACTTAGTTCCCTCAAAATGTTGAATTTTAATTTGAGTATCAGGAAAATTCGACTTTTCTTCACTATCTGAAGAGCTTTCACTTTTTACTTCTGATATATCAGCAACAGCAACTGTCACTTCTAAGTCAGTTTGTGCGTTAAACATATTCTCTTTTTCTTTTTTCAACTCATCCTCTAAATCAGAAGAATTAAAAGAAGAGAATATGAAAGTTACCTATTATTACCGTCACTCTCGTCCAAAACATCAAGTTCAACTTCTTCTTTACTGACCTCATCTGCAACTTGGTTCAGCGCATCTTCCTCAACTTGAGTCAACACTTTTCTTTCACCTGCATGTTTTTCAATGCAACCATCTTCCAATTTAAAGAGAAAACTAAATCCAAGGATCAAATGAGATGGCGGTAAGAAATTCTTTTTTCCCCTTACCATGAAACTACCTGAAACACCCAGTCTGTTAGAAAACGGTCTTTATTTAAGAATAGTTAACACACAAAGTTAGCCATTTTACCTGTGGATAGATATTCTCCAGTTGGCGCCGTTTTACTAACTTGATCGCCCCATACCCAATAGGCATTAGTGATAACCTTTGCTTCCCAAGCGACACTGAAAAAAAAAGTTGTTGACAAACAGTGGACAAAAGGGTCTAATCATGTTCGTCCGAATTACCTGTAACATATAGCCATAGTACCGGCATCATTTAGAGTTTTGGGAGGTACTGGTTGACCACTAGGATTTTTAATTAGGACACTACTTGCTCCGTGAATATCGGCATGAACATAGACATCAGTTGCTTTTAAATAACTAAAAGATTGACAAGTGTGGTAAAAATAAACTTCAGTTTGGTAAAACAATTGTACGAAGGAGACGAGAAAAGTTCTAAATTACAATGCCAACATACAGATAAAAATAAGTAAAAAAGTTCATATGTCCTGAACTGCTTCATTTTGGATATACAGGTATTGAGACATTGTGAAAAATCTATTGTAAATTATTCTTTCAATGTTGGTAGCTATTATAATAATTTTAATTAAATTAATGAAATTAACTATTAGGTTCTTATCATAATTTCCAGAATTGTTATAAAATAAAACCAATTTAAATAGCTCGAATTGTCTTATTTATTTAATTTGGAAACTTGAGATATTAGGCGCACATGCAGACTTTTTTTTTTCTCCCAAACGGTTGGTTTTAACGAATGAACTGAAGAGACCATTTTTGTTCAGAACTGATAGGGGATCTAAATAAAGTAAACGAGATATATAAATTAAATAAAATGGTGTCACGAACGCCAATGATTAAACAGAAACAAGTTTATCTATGCTATATATTAGATCCTCAGTTTGAAAGCAAAAATCAAAAGTTTTTTGAAAAGAATAAAAAAAACGATTTTGTTCGCAAAATTTTAACGCCCTGTATCTCCAAAATGAAGCATCTTTGGACAACATTTTATATGAACTTTTATAATTATTTTTATCTGCTGAATATGCTGCAGGCATTTTAAAGTATATACATGTTATTATCATATTTAAGATTTACTTCTTACTTTTGTAAAACACACAATTTAATTCATTTAATAAGAATTAGAATTGATTTTAATCACTACATTTTAAAGTCTCAAATCAGCATTTACATGCGGAGTTTCTCGGGAAAAGTTTGTGTATTAAATTATTAAATTAAATTAATAGCAAAATATAAGTTAATTATTCCAAATTTTTGGTTTATGCAGGCTGCAGGATGACTTGTCGCATCTTCCTTCAATACAACAACTGTGGAAATTACCGTTTAACAATCAACTCATTTTGTTGTTGATCACGTCCCGCAATCACTAAATAATTCTCTGAACTTATGAACCAAAAAAATTTCTCAAACCAATACACTTTCCTTGCCTTATTTATATTAGTAATTGTCTGCATATCTTTCAGTGTTTGTTGAGTCTTCCTTTCTGCAGACTTCAAAGCTTTTGTTTGCGATTCAATAGTTTTCTGTTGCTTTTTGGCTGCAGTACGTTTTTGATCATAATACCTACAAAACTATGGTAATATGATATGCTAGTATAGAGAATGCTTTAGTACAGCACCTTCGTGCGTTTGCAAATGCTGTCAGGGCCAAATCAACATCAACTAACATTGACGGAATATTATCATTAGCTTCACTGTCTGAAACATCACTACTGGGAAACTCGGCATAGGGATCATCCAGGAATAAACTAATGTGATTCATTTCTAATTTTAAATTTCTAATGCTTCCAGCTATTGGATCCCCCTTTGCTGATGCATCCTTTACCACATCTTCTATATCTTCCCAAGATAACTTTAAAAGGATTATGAATCATCGAAAAGGATCAAAAATGGCAAATTTGTATTCTATTAAGTAGTGGCATTAAATTTTGTTATGTAATTTAAAAAAAAAAAGTTATCTTATGTCAGTCAGACAATTTTAGATTGAGATATGAGATTTGTATTCCATTAAGCAGTGGCATTTTTTTTTCTGCAATTTTAAAAAGAAAAAAGTAGACAAATGTTATGACTGTTAATCTTTAGCTCTTTATGTTATATTGTACAACAAATTCACGATTTTCAATGTAAATAAACCATTACTTTTACTTTTAAAAATTGCAAAATTACCAAGAAACTGAATTTAATGGCAGTTAGAGAAAAAATCATTTGATTCAGAACTTCTTGAATAAATAACTAATTAGAGGATAATTTAGATTTATGTAAATTGCTTCTAAAAACAATAATCTATCTTATAATTAATAAACACAATATTTCCCTCAGTGTGGAAGAGCTTATATGTAAAGTTTACATTTCATAATCAGTTTCTACCTGATTTGCTAGAAGCATTTGTACAGATAAAATTGCTTTGTCCACTAATTCTTGATTTCTGGTGATCAATTCTGCTTTTTGTTTGTCAACTTCCTGAACTTTTTCTAGCGCCACTAATCTTTGGGTGTGATCCTTTTTAACATTTTCTAATTTTTTTAAAGCTTCCCTTTCTTGCTGCACAGCTTTTAGTTCTAATTTTTGACTCTCCAAAGAGGAAAAGAATTCATCAACTGCCAAATTAAATGTACCAAACTCTTTATAAGGCATTGCAGAATGTTGTTCAAATAACATGGGATGGAATTCCTGGTTAGAATAAAACTCAGAGTCCTTGTTTGTCTCAGTAATAGCACGTTCCTCTTTCTTTTGAATAATGAATCCCTGTTAGAAAAATACAATAAATTATGTAGGAACAAGTTATGCTGTCCACATAATTACCTTAAAGCATTCATTTTTTGCTTTCTGGAAGATACTATCTGCTTCACAAATGGCAATGAAAATTTTATGAGAATCTGTATTCAAGTTAAAATTTTTTCCTATTTTAGTGGCATTTGTAATTCCTTGTTTTAACAATACATGTTCAATTAGAGCTGGTCCATAATCTAAAAATTTTAAATAAGAAAAAATCTATTAATAATAAAATATTCCCAACCTAAATTTGAAATGAGTACTTTTTTAACCTGATCTCCTATTTTGCCTTTTTCTAGTATACTTATTATTACTTCTTGGGTTAATCCTGCAGTTTCTCTAGCTCTATTCTCTGGATATTTTTCTCTAACGGCAAACCTAACTTTATCTCCTTCCGTATGCGGCCGTAAAACATTTAATATTATCATTTCATAATCTGCAAGTACTATGTTTCCTCTATCATAAAGTTCTAGTATCACATGATATCCAGCTTCTCCCGAACCAAATTGCATATCAATTATTCTGTCAGTTCCAATTTGAGACAGCTTTTCTAGTCGTTTATTTTTTAAATGTTTACGCAACTAAAATTAATAAAGTATCTTTAACCAGGAAATACACAATATAAAGTAAACTTACTTTCATACTAAAACCAGATGGAGCAACATTTTTCGGCCACTCAAAATTGGTTAAATGAATTCGATTTCCAGATTCAAAAAGTAGAACGCTTTTCTCTTCATTGCGCTGCAATCTGATTAAATAGGTTTTGTTGTCTATGTCGTAAACGTTATTTACTCGCATTCCAACAAGTCTGCAAACATTTTTCATTTGAGCTACTCCAAAACAGCCTAGATTTCACAATGAGACCAAAAGTTCTCTGTAAAAAAGGTACATACTTTTGCAATTCCGTTACGACACATACTATGTCGAATGTATTATAACGAATTTTCATTTTTAAGCAACTATTTTTCAAAACTCAGTGGGTTGAACATAGATTTAGAAGCTGCTTTTGCTAAAATAAGTATCAAAAATTTCGGATGCTCCTAATAGTTTTTCTCTCTATATCAGCTGTGTTCCTATTTGCAGAATACCACAGAATGCTAAGGTTGGTACGCATTTGTATTAAATGTCAAATGGGGGTTTTATATCTTATCCTTGGAGCCCTCTCTGATGAGTGATCTAAAAACTAATGGCAGAGCTGATTAATGTTAACTGTCGATGTAAATAGTAGTTGGCTATATCACCTGCAGATGGCACAGACTTTGCGTTTGGTGTCCGGAAGAAAAGGACAAAAAGTTATCCTTCTTATTGCATTTTGCTGTTCGGTGATTGCTGTATGCTCTATGGTTAGTCGAATCCGTGTGTCGCGCTGTGATTCTGTCCAGCCTCGTTTAGTTCGTGTTATTTTTTTTATGAAATAAATGTTTCTTGCAAAGTTTGCAATTTATGAATAAAAAGTTTTGTCAATGTATAATTTATAAATGGAAAACGCCATGGTTGAGTTGGATTTTTCGTCAGTGGGTTAGTATAATGGTTATTATTATTGAGAAAGCCCTGAAATTGCCACCCTTGAATATAAGGGCGGTATTGACATTTTCCAGCCGGGGTTTTGTTTCCCTTTTGCAAGCTTTTGTTTTTAGTGAATAATAAGAGATTGCTGTGTGCACTTTCATTAATGTTTACAAACAAAAGTACGAAAAATGTTGCCGAATCAAACAAAATACAAAACTTTATTTTTACTTATATTGTAAATTTTTTATATTTTAGTTTTATTCTATTTAAATTATATTTTGTTTTAAGTTCTCAGTCGGTTGTTGAGAGTGAACTAATACTTTTATTCACATTTAGATCTTTTCCTGTTTTTTCGACGTTCAAATAAATTTATGTTATGATTTTATAATTGTAAACTTAGAAATAAAAATAGAAAAAGTGTGCATGCTAGAATCGATGAATTGACTTCGTATTCGAAAAGAAAAAACAGCAGTTTAGCAAAAATTCGTCGAAAATATCTACCAAATTTCCTAAAAATGCCCTTTCTCAAACAAAAAAAAAAGAGTTCGTCCAATACTTCAATCAATTACCAGAAACTAAAAGTAACTACATCAGTTAGGGTAAAAACACCAGACCCTATAATCAGAAATACATAATAGCATTTATTTTAAACTTACCTGCTTCTTCCTACACTTTTGATTGAAAGTGAGACGCAAGGTCCGTAACGGATTATTATGACCCGTTTAAAAATTCAATGATTTTATTTTATGTTTATTATTATTATTATTATTACTATTGTTATTATTATTATTATATTAATTTGAATTTTTAATTAATTAAATCTAATTTGTCATGCAGAAAGTATCAAAATCGTATGACGTAAATATTAATAAAACCAGATGGTAAGTTATTATGTCAACACAATAACATCGGACTTTAACTTTTGTAGTTACAATTGATTTTTTATTTATTTATCTATATACCGATTGTTAATATTTCCTTGTAAGTGATTTTTGACTTTGAATAATTTGAATTTTTTTATTGCAAAATGATAACATTTTCTGTACTTAATTTAAGATTGTCGATGTCCAACTAATGGGCCAAATTAACACTGCATTTTTAAATTTAGAAGTTAAATAAGTACCTATTTCTCGAGACTTTTGACAAATCTCGCTGACCGTGAATACACAAGACACAATGTTTTTACTTGCCCCTATATTACCAAAAAAGGTTTTTTAAGCAACTCTAGTAAGCTTTATTTAAATAAAGGAAATGATCTAAACTATACTAAAAAAGAATTTCTATTTTCCTAAATCAACCTACGCGGATATCTAAGGAGGTTAAAACTGCTAAGATGTTTGGAGCTGTTTTTATCAGAGCCCGACTCTGTTTAAGCAGATGTTCAAAAGCTGCACGTGCCGCATGGTCAAGAAACTCGAGATCTTTAGGTTTAAATTTGGATAAAAGTATGGCCACCAGGTGTTGGCATATTTCGGAGGCAGGTAAATACCACCTAAGGATTTATATGGTGGCGCATTGCTATATTCACCTGTCGAGACATGTGCAAAAGCCATTCGTCTCAAATTAAAAAATGTATTATACCTGGTTACAAAACCGCAAGAATAAAAAAACTGGAAAATAAAATTCTACAATGACGTTGTTTTGTTAAAACTCATTAATATTGAATTTTTTAATAATTATTGGCTATGCGCTTTAAATTACGGCTGCAACAAGTTCATTAAATTATCATTAAAATATTTTATAAACAAATTTCTGGGAATAATACTGCTTTATAAAGTCTCTCTGTTATTTCAAAGGGTAACGATTTAAGAGACACTTTTAGTGCTGTCTGAAAGGAGGGAAATTAATTTTATCTTTAGCCATTTCTCGAAAAGTAATCCGTATTGCTATGGGCCAAAGTATTTATTATCTGAGCAAATAAATCCACTGACTTCCAAGAAGCATGTACGATGTATTGCAACTTTGAACTCGAACATCCTAATATATTCTCAAGGCTGCTGTTTATGCAAATCGCAATTGATAATGGGATGCGTGCCTTCATGGATAACAATCACGATAATGGCGCGTTTACTGTGATGCGCGCTTGTGATGAGTCTCGCTGGATCGTTTAAAATTTGCTGCCTAAACGTTATATTTGAACTTTTCCTTTTGTATGTAAGGTACCTAGTTATTGACAAATCGAACTCCCGCGGGGCAGTAATTTCATAAATTAACCGCTTTGACAACCTAATGGTTCAGTTCACAATAGAAATTGCCTATCGGGGCTATACTACCCAAACACCCAGCCCACGAGCTCGAAGGATTGGAAAGCTTGCGAAAAAAAAGGCAGAGATGTGCAAATTTAAGCAGTTTTCCAATAAGTTTTGTACACATCTTTTATAAATCTCGTACTCAAAGCCAATGTTTGGTTGAACATTTCACATTTTGTTTACCACGTTAATAAACAAAAACTGCCTGATTTAAGGTGGAGTTTTATTTTCAATATTCTCGGCCACCCCTTTAGTATCTCGTCCAATCCACCCAACTAATAGACTTATCTAAGACGTTTTAAAGACGAAGAGAAGCTCCACAGCCAAAAATAATAGTAGAGATCAAATATTTCTGGATGCGTTTGAGAGAAATTCTTGCACGTTTTCATTCAATTTTTGAAATAATAGTGAATTTACATCATTTACGGTCATTTTTGGTGATAGTAAAATTTGATTAATAATTAATTAATTACACTTAATGTATTTTATGTTAATTTCCACCTATGTTTTATTCCAGGAACCATGCCGAAGGAGGGTGTACCCGACATGACACACCTTACTGTTCTCGACGAAGCTGTTATAAACAAGAACCTGAAAGTCCGCTATGAGAGAGACAAAATTTACGTATCCTTTTATAGATAAATGATTAAGGTGATGATATAAGCGACATGTGAAAAAAATATTAATAAAAACGATAAAAAGTACTTTTTATAAAACTTCTGGATTCCTTCTGCGTCGGTTTTTGTTGAGTCGGGTGTGACCGAAACAGTTTTAACAGTTTCAGTCAAGCTCTGAAGAAGCCAACAGGATGATTGGCGAAACGTTAGCTAGTTCGATTCAACAAAAACCGACGCAGGAGGAATTCAGAAATTTTATTAAAAGTATTCCAGTAGCCTGTGGAAGTTTCTTTGAAAACAAAAACAAAAAAAAACGATAAAAATTAATCTAAAATAAAAAATATCGACTAAGCCGACAGGCATGGTCTCCACCATTTGGTTGGAAAAAGTGAATTTTTGGGCCTCGGCCTCATAAGGGGTGTTCAGGAAACTATGGGAAATCTCTGCGTTTCATATACAACACAAAATAACATGACAAATTACTATAATTTTTGTTTTCTACATGTCTTCCCTTGCCCCCAAAGGACGCCGCTGAAAATTGGTTTTTCCTTGAACAACTTTGAAAATAATTGACATAATTTAATCAAATTAGTTTTGATTTAGTTGTGTATCTAAACGCATAATTTTTTGACATGACAAAAAATGTGTAAAATGAACTAAACAAAGCAAATTTAGAACATTTTACTGTCAAAAATTAGGCTTTTAGGCGTCAAAACGTTATCATAATTTCAATCAAACTATACCATGACAGTTTTGTAAATTAATGTGCAGAGGGTGTTCTTGAAGCCGGCGGCCGACGGCACCATAAAAATTAAACATTTCTAAATGGCCCTTGATTATAGAAACGATTAAATGCGATTAACGGAGACTTGAATAAAGGCTTTCGACGTGACGTCTTAAAATACCAGGCAAATACCGGTTTTGGGGACTCCGTAATAATAAAAGTTCACATTAGTCATCGCTTTCTTTCTTCGGGGCATAAAATCAATTCTTCAAATTCCGCTGGTCCGGAACTACTCCGGTAGAATGAGTCACGGTTCGAAAATGGTTCGGGTCGCGTTGCCTAATTTTGCGAAATTCCTACGGAAATTGACGGATCTAGTAGAATTGTCGTCAAGTGACGCTTGACAGCGCCTATCAAGAGTCAATCTTTTTTTGCGGGCAATAATTTATCGCTGTTTATTTTTCCATATTTGCCCAACTGTTAGTTTGAAATATCTACCGAAATTTCGCAACTGTCGAAACACAATATTCTTCGGATGTACTTTACAGGGTAGATTGTGGCCAAAATACAAGGTTTTAAAAAAAAAATCCTCTTCGGATATGTGGGATAGTATTTTTGGATTTTGCCGTCAAAATGAATGTTTCACTAAGGTTTATCTTCCCCAAACCTTAAGAATTTTAAAATAATCTGAATTTTGTCAAAGTGTAACCTAACTATAATTAAAATTCTGCAGTAAGTGTAATAATAAACCATATTTCATTTCTCAATTATAAAAACTAACCAAAGAAAAATCTCTATTTTAATGGCGCCCAAGGATAAAAACTTATCAATACGATCTTATATTTTGCAAAGTTTCATTTGGCTAAACAACTTCATAACAATAACGATTCCAATTTCAACATTTCAAAAAATATTACCAAATGAGACAAAACTGACAAGCCAAAGAAATTACCTGACATCTCTAAATACCGTAGGCCAACAAGATGCAATAAAACTTTTGTTTA